ATAACTTTATATAACATATATTTAATTCTGGCTATCTATATGAGTTAATTAATCTACAAATAATAATAAATAATTATTGGGAATTTATTATTTATTGCTTTGTAAGGCAAGGGCTTACTGATGGAAAGAGAATGTTGATATGTAACATTCTCTGTACTGATGGAAAGTATTTTCCAATCTGGTTTAATAACCTCAGATTATAAAAAGTCACATTTTTAGGAAATCTGAATAAATGATAGGAATTTCAATAACTAGCATAACATAGATCATTTCTACACAATCCTGCCATATTGACACTGCTGCAGATAAATTAGTTTATCAACAGAATAGCTATTTATAGGTAAAGGATAAGGAAACAGCTTCAGTCCTAACTCATAATTAGTTTATTGCTAAATATTATATTTCCCACTTCATGAGAGGAACTCAGGCAAAGTTTGGCAAATAATGTGATATACTGATATCATCTAGGAGAAAAAAAGCTGGTAAGATCATTTTAATAAAAGAATCAGATGACTGAGCAACACTGTAAAATCTAAAGTTTGGTCCACTTAGTTTATTATATTTGGGCAGCGATTAACTCTTACTTCATCAAGTACTGTTTGGAGTAACTAAACTCACAACTAACTGGCACTCTTATAGCCAAAGAATTTCTTAGAACTCAAGTTATTTATCTTTTTAAATTTAATTATAATCTCCTGACCGTAAAACAATTGCAGAAGTTAAAATATAATATTTATTTTGCTATGTTATAATCACATATTCACAGAATTATAGAATCATATAATTTAAGAGCTGAATCTCCCAAACCTCAATTTGTCAACCAAAGGCCTAGAAATGCTAAGTGGATTGTACAAAATCGTGAGCCCTTGTTGGCTTTTTAATTATATTTTTTAAAAATGAAGAATATAAATATTTTACTCTTTATCATCTTTTAGAAAGATGCATCATTTTAATAGAAAAAAATTGGAGGAATTATTTTTAGAGTATATGAAATTGATACGTTCTTGAAAAAAGAGCTTTAAAGCTGTTTTAGAAATAGTCTTATCTTCCTATTTAGGACAATAACAAGATTAGAAACACTGTAAGAAAGATCTTCAGTATTACCTCCTTACGGAACATTTTAGTTTTCTCATAAAGTCATAATAGTACACCAAACAATTTGTAGTAGTGAACCTCATTTTTTTGTGTGTATTTAATCTATCTTTTCGGAATTACATTTAGGACTAGTTTCTTTTCTGCTAACAGACTCTGTAAATATTTTTCACAAAAAAATGGGGTTGTTCTGTAATTAACAACTACATAGATTTCAATTAAACTTTATTTCATTTATCATTTTACCATGCTTCTCAATGTTACTTCTAGATCAGGAAGTATGAGATGAGACTGAAGTCTTGGCAGCAATGGTAAAAGTGTATTAAATATAGAGATGTTTCATTTTCTCTGCTGTGATGGAAAGAATGGAAATTGGTATCAACAGAGTTGGTTCGTTCTGAAGGCCCTAAGGGAAGGATCTGTTTCCAGGCCTCTCTCTTTGGCTTGTAGACAGCCATCTTCTTCCTGTGTCTTTTCACATCACCTTACCTCTATACCTGTCTTTATGTCCAAATTTCCCCTTTTTGTAAGGACAGCTGTCATATTGGAATTAGGGGCTCACCCTATTCCAGTATGAGCTCATCTTAACTAATAACATCTGCAATGACCCTATTCCCAAATACAATCATGAGGGAGTATGGGGGGAGGGCAGGGACACAATTCAACACTTAACACTTAAGTGAGCCTAGTATCTACTGTCAGCATGCCTTATGGTCCTTTGCCTCTCCCAGGTATCTACAGTTGGGAAGTTATTAAAAAGCCCTTCTGAAAAACAGCACCCCAAATCTAATCAATTGCTAGTGCAAATGATAGAACAGAAAAGAAAGAGGTCTAAGAATCATGATTCTCAGAAAATAGAAGTGTTAGAATAGAATGTAGAGTTCAGTTAGTAGCTCTGATTTTGGATGTGAATAAATTCACTATTTGTGTTATAGTGACATAAAAAAAGTAGGCTGTAAAACCATTTCATTAAATTATACAAACACTGCAAAATTCCTCAAGTGAAGTAAAATTTTAGTGAACATTTAAAAGTTAACTTGTAGTGAGAGATTACGCATGTAAATAAGTGACTCTTACATCTGTTATCATTTCCTCTGACTACAACTTTGGAATCATAGAAAAGAAAGAACACAGTGAATCTTTGGAATCATAGAAAAGAAAGAACACAGTGAATCTTTGGAATCATAGAAAAGAAAGAACACAGTGAATCTTTGGAATCATAGAAAAGAAAGAACACAGTGAATCTTTGGAATCATAGAAAAGAAAGAACACAGTGAATCTTTGGAATCATAGAAAAGAAAGAACACAGTGAATCTTTGGAATCATAGAAAAGAAAGAACACAGTGAATCTTTGGAATCATAGAAAAGAAAGAACACAGTGAATCGATTTCTAACTCATGAACCTGACACCTTATTTATACCATGCCATAGACACTGCCACCTAACATAGAAATGTAATTATTTCTCTCTCCCCCACATTTTTCAGTGGTTGCTTTGCTTAAAGGATAAAGACTAAATTCCTTTGTAAGGTGCCAGTCCAGCATCTTTCTTATTCACATATTGTTACTGCAATCTTGAACTTCTAGTTGATCCCCAAACAAGCAAGGCTCTCTCAATGGCCTTCTGCCTTTGCCTTTTTTTTCCCCCTACTTCCCCACACAGTCTTAGGTGATTATCTTATGTTCCCATTATTGAACAATCTTTTTTTTTTTTTTTTTTTTTTGTCTTTTTTGAGACCGGCCGCACCGCGCTCAGCCAGTGAGCGCCTAGGCCATCCCTATATAGAATCCGAATCCGCAGAGGGAGCTCTGCTGCGCTCCCAGCGCTGCACTCTCCCGAGTGCGCCAAGGGCTCCGCCCTGAACAATCTTAATTATTATGTTGTTTCCTATTTTGGCTTCTCTCTACACTGTACATTTTCTGAGGGCACAGACCATGGCTTTTCATCTTTACACTTCTAATGCTAAGTTCTATGCTTGGAATATTCAATAAACAGATCTTCAATAACTGCCCAGTTTTAATATAAGAACAACTTATTTTATGTCATAGTTGTTTTTTTAAAGTATATATTCTAAAAATATAAACTTTAAAAATACATTTTAAAAGTGTAATGCATTAGTAATCTATTTATTGATATTTGAATAGTGTAGTATGATTTATTTTGTTAATTTACATTTTTGTGTGCTTTTAGTGCACACTTGTAACTGATTTTGTAGATATATATGTTTCACGCATACATAAGAATGTTAGAAACCAAGGATTATGAGTAATAAAATTCTGAGACCCTTAAACACAAGAAAATACTTCTAAAAAAATGCCACTTTATTTTTTTGCAGTAAAACATCCATAAAATAAAAGTTACCATTTTAACCAATTTTAAGTGTATGATTCACTGGCATTAAGCACATTTACAATGTTGGGCAACCACTATCCATTTCCAAGGAAAATACACTTTTTACAATCTAGTTTTTATTAGTAAATCTAGATAAATAACTGCTGGTTTTTAAGTACTATTTTCAAACCAAATAGGAGCATATAACAAATGCCCGTGAGTTTACTGAAAATATAACACAGAATACTTAAAATCTGTTGAAACTGGCAGTAAAATATATAGGCCAATAATACAGAAAAAAACAAAAAACAAGCTCTCAAAACTAAACACCGATATAGCATACTAAGATGTCAGTTAAAGCCCTCCTACCTTGGGAAAAGCAGCTTGTGACGCTGGTAAGCGGTAAGTTAAGGTAGCTTTGGTGCGCGCTCACTAGACACTAAAACCGAGGTTCTTAACCCGCGCTTGTTGCAGTCTGTAAAATGCTGCTGTATAAAGGTGGCGAACATATGCAACTGGGGGTGGGGCAGAGAGCATCCCTTGCTTTTATGCGATTCTCAGTTTTTAAAAATTATCACCTTAGAGGGACGAGACAGTGAATAACCAGGCGAAGGCTAGGGCAGCCAAGGCTACAGCCGCCAGGACCCCGGCTCCGCGCCCAGCGCTGGGTTGGGGTGCGGGGGCGGACACCGCCTCCGCCAAGCGAGCCCAGCCGGTGCAGACCCGCCGGAGGGGCGGGGCCAGGGAGCAGCCACCGCCTCCGCCCCTAACGACCCGGAGGGCGCCCTTGTTTACCTCCTAGTATTTGACACCGGGGACAAAGAGGGGCGGGAGGGAGGGGCCAACTGAGGGAAACCCCTTCGGCGGGAAGGGCCTTACTTAAGATCGTTTTGCAACACCCCAGGAGACGGGGCAACACCTACTCTCCCGCGACCCCCACACCTTTTCCGAGGTGCCCCGCCTTGTGCTCCTCGGAGTCTGCCTCAGCGACAACGGGAGGAGCTGGGCAATAGGTCGGCAGGGCAAACTCCTCAGTCTCTCACCAGTTATTATCCTTTGGACGACGAAGAGGTGACCCTGCGGGGCCATAGAGCAGAGCGACTACAGCTCCCAGGAGCCAACGCTGCGGGGCCGGGTTGGGGCGAAGGAGAGACAGGACCTAAACTGTGGTCGGATGAGGCGCAGAACAGGCTTCTTCTGTCACCTTAGAGCCAGCAAACAGAGCCACTGCCGCCAACCCCTTGAAAACCACCCCCAATTTCTCGTCTTCGTATTTTTAAATCTGGCGGGGCCAACCCTCTCGGGCCTGCCACTCCCCCCTTACAGCTCTAGCCAGTCAGCGTCAGGCCCGCCATTTTTCAAACCCTTTTCCCGCCGCCAATCAGGATCGAGCAGTACATTCCTCTCCTGACCGGTTCTAACGGGTCTGGGAGTTAACGACCTGGGGGACCCACCGAACCTGCTAGGCTGAGGATGGAGGGACGGGCCTCGCGAGACACCGGCCAATCGGAAGGCACCGTGGCGAGGGGGCGGGGACTCTTCGGGTTTGAATGATAGTCATAACCAATCAGAGAGCTGGGGGTGTGGCCGGTGGCTGGGCTCGTCAAGTTGCCGTGGCGCGGAGAACTCTGCAAAACAAGAGGCTAAGGATTGCGTTAGCGATAAACCAGTTCACGCCGGAGCCTTGGGAGGAAGCGTCTCTGTTGGGTTCGGCCAATCTGTGGGACTCTGAGGAGAACCTCGCACCAGGCAAGAGTCCCCTCCAAGCTCCTTGGGTTTGTGGGCCTGCCGTTCCCTCTCCCCTCAGAACCCTCTACCCGGTCTCGGCGCTGTGGCTCTCGGGGTTCGACCCGGTGAGCGGCGAGCGGAATTTGCGGTGCGGGCCGATGAGGGCCAGGGCTGGGAAGGGCGGGAATCTCGCCCGGGTCCCGTTCCAGTAGTTTTTTGAAGGTCGGTCGCGAGGCCACTAGTCATTGAGTGAGGGGAAGCCGGAGGACATTTGTCAGAAAGGGGTTCTCGAGGGCGCCCGCGGCGTTCCCGGCCTCGGTGAGGGGCGGCGGCGGCGTCTCGGGCCTCGCGGAGAAACTTGCTGATCGCGCGTGAGGGGTAATCGGCCGCGGCTGCTCCGGTCGGGGCCGGGAGGAGGGTGTGTGCGGCCGCCCTCAGAAGGAGGGGCGCGGCAGGGGGGGCGCCTGTTTGGGCGGGAAGCTGAGCTCAGCCGGCGCCCACCCTGGCAGCTGCGGGCTGCACGCCGACCCCCCGGCTTTCTCACTACTAGGTAGACACCGTCTGTCACCATGGGTAAAGGAGACCCCAACAAGCCAAGGGGCAAAATGTCCTCGTATGCCTTCTTCGTGCAGACCTGCCGGGAAGAGCACAAGAAGAAACACCCAGACTCTTCCGTCAATTTTGCCGAATTCTCCAAGAAATGTTCGGAGAGATGGAAGGTGAGACAGGAATTCAGAGCCCAGGGCTTTCAGGTGTGTTTTTTGGCCAGGGCCTTAAGCAGACAGGTAACTAGTAAAGTTTCAGCTTTGTTGCCTTGATGACTGATAACAAGTATTTTAGGCAAACCTTAAGTTTTTACTAACTTAAGACTACGGAAGCAAAAAGCTGTTAAGTAAGGGAAATGTGGTCCTTGAAGGTGATCTTAATTTGGGGGATTTGTTTATAGCTATTTACTGTATTTTTACTGCTCACTTTATGCCCATAGACCATGTCTGCAAAGGAAAAATCGAAGTTTGAAGATATGGCAAAAAGTGACAAAGCTCGCTATGACAGGGAGATGAAAAATTATGTTCCTCCCAAGGGTGATAAGAAAGGAAAGAAAAAAGATCCCAATGCTCCTAAAAGGCCACCGTAAGTTTATTTTAAAGTGAACCAAATTGCCCCTTGGATGTTTTGCTCAATTTATTAACTCTGTTGCTTCCTTTCAGATCTGCCTTCTTCCTGTTTTGCTCTGAACATCGCCCAAAGATCAAAAGTGAACACCCAGGCCTATCCATTGGGGATACTGCAAAAAAATGGGGTGAAATGTGGTCTGAACAGTCAGCAAAGGATAAGCAACCATATGAACAGAAAGCAGCTAAACTAAAGGAGAAATATGAAAAGGTACATTGTCTTCTTACCTTTTTAAAGTTGAGATTAAAATCAGGTAGGTATTTTCTAAAGAAGTGGGTTAGAAATAAGTATGAACTGTAGAAAGTTGGGAAACTTACATTAATGGTTGTCAGCTGTTTTGAAAAGGCATAATTAAAATTGTGACTGAAACCAGTGCCACAGGTAAATTCCTGCATATAGACTCATTTGTAGTTGTATGTCTGCTAGTTTAAAAAAATAGAGGGCCAAACGTATAGTTTTATGTAGATGTATTTGAATTGTGAAGTGTTGGGGGTGGGCAGGACTATGAGGTAAATGGGTATTGATAGTGAAAGTAGTACTGATGTTAATCTAATGTAACCTTTATCATTTTACATCATTAGCTTTCTAAAGCCTAGAGGGAACAAACACTCTCAAAACTGAGTTAGGCTCTGAATACTTTTTTAGACAGTTAGCAGGGTTATTGGCCAATAATTTTAGATTGTTTACAACTAAGTGGTTTTCACAGTTGAGTAATGATACCGGATGCTGATTTTATTTTCTTTGACAATATTTCAGGATATTGCTGCATACCGTGCCAAGGGCAAAAGTGAAGCAGGAAAGAAGGGTCCTGGCAGGCCAACAGGCTCAAAGAAGAAGAACGAACCAGAAGATGAGGAGGAGGAAGAGGAAGATGATGATGAGGAGGAGGAAGAGGAAGATGATGATGAGGAGGAGGAAGAGGATGAAGATGAAGAATAAATGGCTATCCTGTAATGATGGGTGTGGAGTGTGTGTGTGTGCGCTCAGGCAATTGTTTTGCTAAGAATGTGAATTCAAGTGCAGCTCAATATTAGCTTCAGTATAAAAATTGTACAGATTTTTGTATAGCTGATAAGATTCTTTGTAGAGAAAATACTTTTTTAAAAATGCAGGTTGTAGCTTTTTGAGGGGCTACTTCATACAGTTAGATTTTAAAGCTTCTGATGTTGAATGTTCCTAAATATTTAATGGTTTAATTTGTGTGTGGTAGCACAGCAAACTCATAGGAATTAGTATCGTAGTACATTTTGGGTTTTCTAGGACATTGCATTTTATGTTTTTTAAAAAAAGTTTTGTAATAAAATTATGTATATTACTTCTATTTGTCTTTGTCTTAATATGCTAAATTAGTTTTCACTTTGAAGAAACACTTAGTGATGCCATGTCAATGTTTTTGTATTTTTGCTTAGTTCTTAGGCAGTTATTTAAAACATTTTAAGGGTTAAAAAGAAAATCAAACATGCCCATATTTGTATTTGCAAATTTTTCTTAAAAAACCAGATCTGGAACTTAATGAACTTTAAGAACTTATGCAGTTTTGCAGAACAATTAAGTTTTGTTCTTGACATTTCATTTATTAGCTAACAAAATCCCAAAGGATTTTTTTTTTAACTTAACACTTTATTTGGGGGGAAAATTTCCTTTAATGTGAAGAAAAAGAGTTAGGATGGTGAACAATACCTAAAAGCACATGAACTAAAAAAAATCACTGGCAACAAGGTTAAGTTTTCTCTTGGATAAGCTGAACTAGTAAGGTAGAATACCAGAGTAGATTTTGAGTTATATCTTTTAAAATCAGTTTGGTCTTAAGCTTTAGGATTCTGGGTAGTTCGCCTAAGAAAGCATTTGAGATGGTTATCATGATTTCCCATAACTAATTTAACTAAATTTCACTAGGATTTATATTTACAGGAGAAGGGTAATTTTAGGAATGCTTGTTTGAGGAAGCAGAGTTAAGATCGTTTTGAATACTTGTTAGATGTTTCTAGTGAAAGTTGACCGTTGGCTAAATTCTTACAGAAGAAACCTATTTGTGGACAATAGTATAGTTAAACTTGACAATCTTGGTTACCTATTAAGTTTTACAAAAGTCGGGATTCTTATTTTCCAACCACAGGAGACTTGGTTGTGTCTCATGTCATATTTGGAATAAATATTTGGTAAGGTTTATTTCATTTCTTAAACAGAAAATACTAACCAAAGTTTTGTTAATATAATTAGCATAATTACCAGAGCAAATGGACTCAAGTAAAATCTTCAAACATCTTTATGATTGCCTTCTTTTAATTATATCCTGATATACACATACCAGTTTGAGGCTTTCACTGATCACAAAATGAAAAGTAAATTTTGTTTTCTGGTGTTAGGTAATTTAATACACCAAAACATTTGGGATAATGTATTTTAGATACTTAGGTGTGAATCCCAGTTGACTAGCTCTACCTTATTTCCCCCCCTATTATAATTGGTCAGTACCTATTTTACAGTATGATTAAATGAAAATGTAAGGTATTTTAAAACTACGTAGTGTATAGAAGAGATGTTAAATAGATGTTAAATACGAGTGTATAGAAGAGATGTTAAATAGATGTTAAATACGAATTTCTAAAATAATCTGTTTCCTTAAGAATTTCTAAATGTACAAATTAGACCCATGGAGCATACCTATTGGGTTCCGTGTCACCTTTTTGGAAGTCTTTGTGATGTCTTTCATTCTGTTCTCTATGTAAGATATATTTTAAGTTTGTATGCTAAGAACAACTCAGGAGCTGCTTTAGAATAACCTCAGGGTTTGAGATGGTTCTGCCTGGCTAATGTTTTATATTCTGTAAGTGTGACACGATCAAAATTCCAGATCCTTCTGAAAGACTAAACCAGTAAGCTTTTCAATAATCAAAACTAGGTAACTTCAAGGAATGGACATATTGATTGGAAAGCACTGAAATGAGGTAGGAATTAGCTTCTACACCAGATCAGCCACTACTTGGAGGAATGTGTATAAAAACCATTTTTTTTCCCTTTTTAAAAATAGGTCATATCTTGATGGTACAAAATGTAAAAATATGTAGTGGGTAATTCATATCCCTCCTTGATTCCCAGTTACCTTGTCCTCCCACGAAGCAACCCCAATAATGCAATAATCCTTCAGGAAAGACCTAAGGATAAATAATCATCTACATGTACAAGGATATATATTGGTATTATACAAATGGAAGCTTATATTCTTAATTTCATCACTTTATAGATTGTTCTCAAGAGCTGACAGGTTCTTTTAAATAGCTATCTGTAGTATCCCATTGAATAGATCATAATTTAAGTTCTCTACAAATAATTATGCTGTATTTTTTTGTTTTAAGAACAATATTGCTATGAATAATATCCTTGTATGTGATTTCACATGTGAAAAAAGTTCTATAAGTGAAATAGCTAGGGCCATGGGGACGCATGTTCTAAAATTTGCTAGTTACAATAGCTAAAACCTGTACTTAATATATGACAGAAGCTGCTGCTGTGCTTTGTTTCTCCACAGCAATGAATGTTGTGTCTGTTTCCTCTCAGCAACATAAGAGTTCTCAAACTTCTCAGTCTTTGTTATTCTGATACATAAAAAACACGGTTTCTTCTATTATGAGTTTAGTAATTTTTAAGAGTCATTTGTGTTTTCTTTCCTGTGGTCTTTTGTCTCATTGGTCTTTTTATTAAGTTTGTGGGAGCATTACATATGAAGGAAAATGACCCTTTGTCATTGTAATGTAAATATTACATTGTAATGTAAATATACCCTTTGACATGTATTGTAAATATTTTTCTCCTTGTCTTGCCTTTATTTATGATGCTTTCTTCATAGAGATTTCTTATTTTTATGTAGGCAAATTTGTCAATTCTTTTATGGCTTTGGGAGGCCTTTCCCACTCAAAGATTATAAAAACAATTATCTTTTGTTTTACTTTTTAAAAAAAATTTAAATCTTTCATCCTTCTGGAATTTATTTTGGTGAAAGGACTGAGCTAGGGGCTCAAATTAATTTCTTTTCCAATGTAAGCCACTACTTTTAATCTTAATCTATAAAAGCAGGGTACTGAAAAAGATCCTAAGATCCTTTACATAGGAAAGCACTTACTTCAGACTTGGTCAATAGATGACAGTATGCTTTTTTGGTTAAGTATTTTGCTTAACAGCATCATTTAAGTAGTAAATCATAAGCTTGTCTTAGAATAGTACAAATATAGCATTCTTAAACCTCACTTTCCACTACTACATGTGCCACTTAAAGTGTTTTACAAAGTAGTAATTTTATTTCTTGGGGAACAGCAGGAAGAAAGCTAAAGGAACTGTTATGCCACTGCATAAGATCTAGTCCTTTTAAAATAAAACTTCACAGCTCTCTAGAAATACCATTTTTAGACTAGTTCTTCATTGTCTAAACAATGACATTTTTGGAGACTGAAATTTTTAGAGAAAGAAGAATACTGACAGTAGGAAATGCAAAGACCTATAGAGGCTAGAAAAGGAAAAGGGCTGGATGTGGGGAGCATACAAGAATGTAAGCTCTGTGAGGGCAGTGAAATTTTTGTTTTTGTATACTACTGTATCCCTAGTGCCAGAAACTGTTCTATGCATATTTGTAAACAAATGCCCAGGATAAAAGGGGACAGCTACTATTTAGCTCAATTCTGTTGCTGGATGGAAATGTGTGTCTAGGATTCCCAGATCTCCCAAGTTTTCAAGTGAAACCAGAAATCTAGATTTTAAAAATGTGAAATCTGAATTTTAAAATATTGGCAATGAATTCAAGTTTGGGGATCAAAGAAAACATGTCTATAGGTAAGATTCTGCCCTAGTCGCCAGTTTACCACTTCTATAAAGTATAGGTAAATATAAGATTATTAATAACAATGTTTACTTCAGTCAGGTCTGTCAATAAAAGTTTATGCCAGCTAAGCTTTTGTTTGTTTTTGTTTGTTGTTTGTTTGTTTTTCCTGACGTGCACCAGCCATCCCTATATAGGATCCGAATCTGCAGCCTTGTAGCTACCAGCGCTGCACTCTCCCGAGTGAGCCATGGGGCTGGTCCCTGAGCTTTGTTTTTATAGATAAGAAACCCTTCTTGCCCTGATTGGAAATTTGTCTTAACTTACTATTCTGTAGTAAAGGTAAATATAGACATTGTTTTTGAGGTGTCAATGAAACTTCATTGTGCTCCTGGGCCTTTATTCTTTAGTACTTAACAGTATAGACTTCTCTTGTAGCGAAGCTTATCCTCAGTGTTTCCACATCTATGGAATATAGTGACTCAGGAGTACAATTAGATTATCGTGTTAAAAGGAAAGAAAAATAACTTTTAAGCAATGTGTAGCCACAAATTTTAGAACTGGAAATGGCCTTTATATCATCTGGTCCAGTCTCCTTTCCTCAGGAAGACATGGCAATCAACTCGGGCTGTCCTAGGACAGGTAAGAGATAGTATAATGCTATAGTTCATTCACATTTATGTATTATTCTTTGATTCTCCACACTTTTCCAAAAAAGATGAGATGGTGTATACAAATAAAAAAAAGAACAAAATATAAACACATGAAGGGAAAAAACAAGGTTATGAAAGAAATTAAGAGGGAGGTAGTTAGGAGCTTAGGCTTAGGAACCAGAGTTTAAATAAGGCTCTCTTTCTTACTGTTTTGGTACCATCAGACAACACATAACCTCTCAAGTTTCTTTATCTGTAAAATTAGAATTTTAAGTGGGAGGCGGGGAGTGAATGAGGTAGTACGTTTAAGACACCCTGGTGGCAAGAACAGTAAATGCTCAATGAATATTAGCTAATTTACATGCCAATATATATATCAGTTAATACAGATGCTATAACAAAGTATCAGATTCAGTTCTGAGATTCTTGACAGTCAAGGTGGAGAGGAAAATTAAAGAAGTTACATGGAAAACATATTCTTTTCGGAGAGTTTTTTTCAGCATCAAATAGAAATTCCTTCTATGAGGTTCTGGGGATATTGAGTACCAGAGCTGATTATGTCCTTGACCCCAATTCTAAATCTGTGAGCTTGGGCAAGTTATTTAACCTATCATGAATAAATGTGCAACTTAATGTATGTTTATTTAGTTACTTTTGATATTTATAAAAGTTTGGTGCATGAAGTCTTTCGGGAATTGTCTTTTTCACTCAATGCTATTACTAAAACTTGATTATACTAGTTTATTCATGCTCATCGCTGTGTAATATTCCATAGTTTGATTAAATCACAAGTCATCCATTCTCCTGTTGATGGGCATTCAAGTTCCCAGAGTTTTTGCTACTGCACATGGCAGTGCT